TTTTTGCCACCATTAAAAAAAAAAGGTATGGGTACAAGGAAGAAGAAACTGTTCTGAAATTGTGGTAGTGATTGTACAATTGTTCTTAATAGGATCGAACTATTGACTTGTATGGTACGTGCATAAAGTGCCAATAAAACTGGAAAGAAAGAAAGAAAAGCCTTTGACCATCGGAAGCTAGAAGGACCTGCAGAGAGAGCCCGGCTTGGTAGACACCTGGATTTTGACTAACTTTGAGCCTGCAGAACTGTGAGACCAGACATTTCTGCTGCTGTAAGCCACCTAGTCATGGTACTTGGTTACGACAGCCCTAGAAATCAATGGGTATCATTGGGTGGCACACATGATTAAGTGTATAACTGCTAGCCGAAAGATTGGTGTTTCAAACCCACCTCAGCGTGCATCGGATGACCGGCTGGGTGGTCTGCTTCTTCAACAACCCCACAGCACAGACTTATCCAACACGCATGGGATCACTAGGAGTCCGAATTGACTCACCAGCGAGTACCAGCCACCAGAAGACCCTAACAGATCTTTGTGGGGGTAACCAGACCCCCACAACTAATCCCATGTTCAGTAGGCGCAATTGTGGGGTTAATCTGTACAAAGATTTGCATCCTGGTGTTGAAGGCATCATTGGAAATCAGCATATAGTGGAATGATATATTTTTAAGTCATCTGCTTTTGTCTGCCTTTTACTGGAGCATTTACTACATTTGCATTCACTGTAATGACTCATAAGAAGTGACTTCTGCCACTTGGTTATTTGGTTTTGGTATTGTAAACCTTCGTTCTTTAATATGGCTTGTCTTTGTGCTTTGCTGTTGTATTGTGATGCATGGGTGTTGAATATTTGTGGGGTTAAGGGTAAGAGGGAACCCCACAAAACATCACAGGTTTGGTAGGCACAATTGTACAGCGATAATAAGTAGAGATTATAGTAAAGTCATAGAGAGCATGAGAGTTAAAGGATGGAGTCAAGTAATAGAAGGCGCAATTGTAAATAATTTGGGGAGACAACTTAAGAGAATTCCTTCTGTTCCCCACAAATATTGATTGAAATAAAACGAAATATATGACAGGTTTAATTTTTCCATTTACCATGATGCTGCGTTCTGATGTGGTTGTAAGGGCTTTTGTACTTTATATTCAAATATAATTCATACTGAAGTTTGTAGTCTTTGATATTCATCACGAAGTGCTTGAAGTTGTCTTCATTTAGAGGAAGCAAGGTTGTATGGTTTGAAAATCACAGGTTGTTCATTAGTCTTCCTCCACTCCTAGTGCCTAGTTCATCATACAGTCCAATTTTGGGGTCATTTATACAGGCTGAATAAGTAAAGCGAAATGATGTGACTCTGCTGTAAATCTTTTCCAAATTGGACACACCAAGTAGTCCCTTGTCTGTTTAAACTTGCTTCTTGATTCATATAAAAGTTCCACATGAGCACTATCAAATATTCTCAAATATCATTTTTGTAGTGGTATTCATAATTTGTTATGATCCACTCTGTATAATGCCTTTATATAATCAATAAACACAGGTAAACAAAAAAAAGATATACAAAGATTATAGTTACGTCATAGAGAATAGGAGAGATGGGAGAGAGAGTAAAATAAAGAAGTCAGACACATTTCATGGTAGCATGCTCACCTCGGCTCCTCTTGGTGGTCCACGTGGACATGGGAGGGGGCAGGAGAGAGCTCATGAGGTTTTATTTCTAACCAAAGCTTATATATCTTTGGGGACATACAAGCCCCCAGATTATAGATAACGACCTACGTCATTGGAAGGGGTTGTAACATAGGCAACACAAGCAATAGGAGGGGGATGACCTAGGGGTGTACACGCAAGAAGAAAAGGAGGGAGTAAGGGAACATGTGGCAAGATGGGCGGACCCTAGACTCAATATAGTAGCCTCACCTTAGTCATCCTTGAGTGGTCCAGGCTTGCCTTCGGGCACACCTTCAGGGGAACAATATCAGAAAGGAGTGGGCCCTACTTGGGGTGAGTCAGACTATACAGTCTGGTTGCTCTCCATGGCTGATACCCTTAAGGAGAGTAACCTCTGACTTACATTCAATGACCTAGTGTACAGTCAGTCACCATGCGTAGCAAGCAGCATCTTGGGTTTAGCAAATACTTTGGAGAGAAAACTTGGGAGAAATCTTTCTCTATCCTACAGATCTTCCTTAAACACCCGGGCCAGACCCTTCCTTAGACATTCTGGTCTATATCCATACTCTACCACACATTCATCTCTGGTAGAAACGCCAAATTCGGATTCCATTGGGGACAGGAGGAAGGCACGTTAGCACTGACTTAATAGCCAGGAACAAATGGTCTTGCAACGCTGGCTGTGTGTCATATAGAATAAAAACAAAAATGTCAAACCTATTGGCAGCAAGTGGACTCCCCCTTCTAGCTGCCATGTGCGGGGTTTCTAAGACAGTAAATCCTTGCAGGAATAGACAGCTTCATCTCTCTCCTGTGGGGTAGCTGGTGGGTTTGAACTGCCAAGCTTGCATTCAGCAGCACAAGCCCTAACCCACAGTGCCACCAGGACTCCTCATCTAAAACGCGGGTCTGTCAATAAATTGGAACCCCAATGAACTTTGATTTCATCTCAATTTTTACATGTTTGAAGTGAACTTGTCAGTAACCAAGTTTTCCTCTTTCTTTTTGTAACCACTCAGATCAATATTTAGGTCCAAGGGGTAAGGCATTGGGAGGGAGATTTTGTTCTGCTCTGTTTTTAAGGAATCTCGCTGCATAGAGTTCCACAGCCATCTCAACCTTTGAAACCAATAACAATATCCCGTGAGACCCTCCATTAACGTAGTTCTCTCGTGGCTCCCACTCCCCCGTCCTTCCCTCCCTCCCTCCTCTATATGCTATCCCTCCCCTCTCCCAGTTCCCACCCCTGTTCCTGGCCTTTCCTAGTCCTCCACGTCTTGTCTTTTCGTGATAAAACCACATTTCTTCTACCTTGTTTTCCCTCATAACAATAGTGCGATTAGATATTTATCTTTCTAAGATTGACAGCGTTTGCTCAGCATCGCGTTCTCAAGTTTTGTGGGGTTTAAGGGAGGGTTTTCCCCCCATAAAACGGTTTAAAATGTAAAATAAATAATAAAGAGAGCAGGCATTGTTTTTTGCTGATGCAAAATATTCTGTTGCACGGAGGCACCCGTTGCTTTATGCATTCCTCTAGAGTCCGAGTATTTAGTTGTCCCTGGTTTTGCTGTTATAGAAATGTCTGCAATGAGCACAGGGGGGCGTATGTCTGTGCCGTGCTGTGTTCTCCATTTCTTCTTTACACACAATGTCTTCGGGGTACAGACCCAGGAGAGAGATGGCTGGATCGGGACCTAACTTTATCCACATCTGTTTCAGAAAGCCATCCTGATTTCGATAGTGGCTGTACAGCTCTGCCCTTCCACCAGCAATGGGAATGAACAGGTGCCAGTCTCCGGACAATCTCTACAGCATTATTAGTTTACGTTTTATTGAATTTTGCTAACAGTGTTGGTGTGAGGTGATTTAATTTCTATTTCTGGTATGGCTACTGCACGTGAACATTTCTTCATGTGGTTGTTGGCCACCTGGTTGCCATCTTTGGTAAATTGTCTATTCATGTCCTAGGCCCATTTTTTGATTGTGTTATTTGTATAGTTCTTGTTAGGATGTAGTTTTGTATTGATTTTGGAGATTAGCCCATTATCTGATGTATTCTTTTTTAAAAAATCATTTTATTGGGGGATCATACAACTCTTATCACAATCCATCCATCCATCCATTGTGTCAAGCACATTTGTACATTTGTTGCCATCATCATTCTCAAAACATTTGCTTTC